AAAAACAGTTACTTTTAGTATTTTTTTTTTTTCCTTTTGATAAAAAAAAAAAAAAAGTTAAAATTACTGAAGCGCAGTGTCTCATTGTTTTTTGCTATAAAAACCACTCTTTATTGATAAATATATTTTATTCAATGAAATATAGAATAAAATACTCGTTTGCATCTACATAAACAACACACATACACCCTCAATACACTAGTGAACGGATACTCAAGAAAATTACTTAATTATTTAACCAAAAAAAAATAAAAAAAAGGTAATATATTTATGTAATAATTTAATAATGAAGAAAAAAAAAAGTTGTAACCGTAACGCGGTTGATATCGAATTAAATTTGTATATAATTAAAAAAAAAAAAAAAAAAAAAAAAAGTAGAGGACGACCAATTTATGCGTTTTATTAAACGAACAAAGTCGCACGCATGCGTACACAATTTGCAATGTAAAGTTGTTGTAAATGCGAAGTGAACGCCACATTGGTATTGCTTCGTACCAATTACGGGATAATTTATTATCGTCTGACTGTTAATGTATTACTTTTGCTTATTTTTTTTTTATTATTATTATTATTATTATTTTTATTATTTTTTTCCATCTCTCCTTTTCTTTTTCTTTTTCTTCTTCTTCAATTTCAATTTCTACTTTTACTTACAAATAATCAATTTTTTGCTTTCGAATTTCCTTACAAATGGCATTTGAAATGAATTTTAATATTTTCATAGATAAATACAACACGTATAAGTGTGTGTGTGTGTGTGTGAATATAAAAAAAAAGTATTTTACTTAATGGAATAATTCAAAAATTTAAGCAAAAGAGAAAAAAAAAGTATCGAACTTATTTATTCAAATGAAATTCATTTCTCTTCCTATTTCACGAACTTAACTAATAATGATATCTTAATTATTATTTACTATTATTATATTATTTACAGTTAATTCGATCAATTTGTATTCGTCAAAAAAAAAATTTCGAAAGGATCTTTCATTTCATCCTTTATTTTTTTTATTTTTTATCTTCTTCTTCTTCCTTTTTTGCTTTCACGTGCATAGTCCGTCCCGTCCCACTTATCGAAGTCTTTTTTATTTTTTTTTTTATATTTTACAAATCAAATATTTCTGTTAAAAAATAAAAAAAAAATAAAAGGAAGAGACCTTCTTTTTTTTTTATTTTATTTATCTCATGACAATTTATACGATACATTGATAATATGATCAATGTATGTGCAATTTAATTTGTTTTACCTTCGATCTAGAATAAATAGAATGTTTGTTCAAAGTAAATGAAACCACTTTTTTTTTTTCTCAACTTCTTCTTACATTGTCATAAAAAGAAGGTTTTTTTTTTTCTTTTTTCTTCGTCATTCCTCTGTAATTTGATATCTCGCGTTGTGCGTTTTACTTTAATCGTAAATACATTAAAATTGATTTGATCTATGATTATATAAACATTGTTCAAAGTAGACGACAACAACAACAACAAATCAAGCAAAAAAAAATAAATAAGAAAAAAATTGTCATATGATTGGCAATCGTTGTTATGAATATAATCAGATATATGTATGTAGTTGATAATTATAACAAAAAGAAACTAGAAAAAATAATTGATAATTTAGTACATACATATAACATATAAACATTGTTCAAAGTAGACAACAACAAATCAAGAATAAAATTGCAATATGATTGGCAATCGTCGTTATGAATATTATCAGATATATGTAGTTGATAATTATAACAACAAAAAAACTAGAAAAAATAATTGATAACTTAGTATATATTCATACAATACATATATAAATGTGTATAGACACATACACGTAGATAATCATAGTCGTAATCTACATCTTTTTGCGGTCACTGCGGGAAGTAACTATTTAGATAAATGTGGTTTAAACAATGCCGGTGCCGGCATGTCTCGATTCTTCATCATACAATTATTTATTAAGTTTTAATCTTATGTTGGTATATGTATACGTAATATACAGATACATTATATATATATATTTTTGTGTATTAGTAATATTATACTTATTATTCATGTTACTTATCTTTCACACTTTCTAACATCGTTTCTGTTCCACCTACCACATCCAACGATGAATTTAATCTTAACTTTTGGTATATGTATAACAGTGCTTCTTTTATCATATTACTTCGTGTGTGTGTGTGTTAGTGTTTTTTTCTCTGGAATTTTTCTTTCGACATACATATATCATATATATATA